GGGGGCGCCGCGGAGGGGCCGTCGGGGCGCGGCGGCGCTGGCGGAGCGGGCTGCGCTGCTCGCGCCCTAGGTAGGACGGACCTGCCCCCCTGCCTCTGCCCCATGTCCAATAAGAAGAGCCCCCGCTTGACACCTGCCTATATACAGGGACGGGAGCAACATCTGCAGCCGGCCCGGGAGGGGGGAGGGAGCCCGAGCCGCCCCGAGCGCAGCAGCCCCCGCGGGTCCGAGCGGGGGGCTCGCCGGCCCTATAAACCCCCCCCAGCCACCATGACTTCCAGTAAGATTGAGATGCCCGGGGAGCTGAAGGCAGATCCCGCAGCCCTCATGGCATCTCTGCATCTGCTGCCTTCTCCTGCTCTCAACCTGGAAATCAAATACACCAAGGTAAGTTGGGAGCCTGTGCGCCTCCCAGAGCAGGGCTCTGCTTGGAATGGGGTGCCATCTGCCCCAACCAACCTGGGTACGGAGATGAGAAATTGCCTTGATTTTTTCCGTAATAAAGAAAACATTATTTTAACCTTGTAATCAGCTGGAGAAAAATGCTGGAAAATAGAAAAGCAAGTGAGACTGTTGAGACTGGCAGTGTCACTTTTGATGTTTTCATTTGATATAAATCAGAAGGAGTTACTATACATACATGCGTTTCTCAATCAAAAAATGTTGCTTTTTTTTTTTTTTTTTTTTTTTTTTTCTCCATGAATACCTGGTGTGAGAGCCCAACGGACACTCTCATAATTGCTAGAGGACTCTTAGTGCTACCAGGTTGTTGTTACAGCTCTGGGACAGGTCTCTTTACTAACTTCCTTTATATTTGAATATTCCCTTGAACAGCATTGTAAGAAGGCATGTGTTTTCTGACTAACCTTTAAGACTTATCCTCTTAAAAGGAGAGTTAAGAATTGTCCTATTGGGTCTGTGTTAAAAAAGTATAAAAGAATGCTGRGTTTCTGTGGTATATAGCAGGACTGAATAGTTTTTGTAGACTAAAATGGGCTTTTATTTACCAGTTATTTGTTTGTGAATGCAGCTTGAATTTTCAAATTCGTTCGTATGTTTTGAGTCTTTGCATCCTTAGCGTCTGTAACTAAGGAACTAATTTCATTCCTGTTGGAGAAGTTTCAAATGTATTGTATGAACAGATTACAATGTGTCAGACTTTGTTTCTAATTACTGAGTAACTTAATAGGAAAGTAAAGCACATCAACCCTGGAAAGAGGTGATAACATTTTTATCTACTGGAAATACAACTTCAAGAGGTTTAGGACTGATAGAAAACTCATTCTGGCCAGTGTATTGTAATATTTTCCTCCATATCATCACTTTAAAAGCTTTTCATCTTTTTTTTTTTTTAAGCGGGTGCCAAAACTAATTTGTCTTCTAATTTGTTACAGCTATTCTAGTTCTAGAAGACTGTTTCAGAGCAAACTCAACTATTTTAATTTCATTACATTTTAATGAGAACTGTGATATACAAATTAAAAGATGCTTGTGATTTCTTCCATATAATTTATTTGAAGTTAGCTTAAATACATTAAGTGGCTATTTGATGCTGTATGGTATTACACTTTGGGAGCAATGATTCAGTGCAAATAGCATTTGGCTTGAATTTTGTTTATTCCTGTTTTTATTATCAAATATGCTTCAGAAGTGTTCAGAGTATTTTAATATTTGTTGGTATSATAGCGTACAGAGTAAGTAAACTTGTATTTCTCAGTTTTAAAGCTGCAGGAATTATTCTAAAAACCTTTATAAAAAGCATCATTAGCAATTGTACCTCCCTATTTTTTTAGAATGCAAAATGGATAGTAACCTTTAATAAATCAGAATATATAGTGCCATCATCTCAGAAATATATGAGATGTCACATTCTATACTAATGAAACAGGTGGAAGAAAGTTATTTTATTTCAGTACTAAACCAGTAACAACAACAAATTTTTTCTTCTAGACTTGGTTTTGAGATATCGGGTAACTCTTGGCTGTTCTTGAGAGAAATTAGGTTTAAGACAGGTATCAAATATTTTATTTGGCACATCCTCTGTCTCTCTTTTTCTGTCTGTCTCTCTCCTCCCTCCCTTTTCTCTTTCTCTGCAGGAAACACAAGTGATTTATAGATAATTGGAGTCTTCAGTTAGGAGTCTTGTCTTGGGCAGGACTTTTATCCAGGATCCACTTTCCCACCTATTACAAAGAAAAACAATCAAAAATGAAATAATGGATTGTAACTTGATTCTCTCATTTGGAGGAGTGATTGTTTCATGTCTTAAATGACAAACAACTTCCGTAAACAATAAATAACATGAGGCTAAAGCACTTTACTCCAAAAATCCCCTCCCAAACCTTGTAAAATCAGACATCTGTAAGCATTCCTAGCAGCCTCTCTCTTGCTTGTTAGCTGAGAATTTTAAATACACAACCAGGACTCAGAATTCTTGAGCTCTTTATTACAGCTGTCTCTGAAAGTAAAATCTTAACCATTTGGGAGTTAATTCTTTATGAAAAATAAAGGTACCTGTGGGCATTTCTTAAACCAAGTGAATTTTAAAAGTATGTTTTATCAATTAAATTTCATTTCTGGAATTCTAAAATTTGGAAAATGCTAAGATGATTTTTTTTTTAAAGATAAAATATGTAAAAAGTACCTGGAATCCCTAAATGAGATTTAGTAAAGATTTTTCACATGTACTGAAAAAAAAAAATGTTATTCATTAATCTTTAAAACACCATATTATCCTTAGAAATACTAGTTCAAGGAATTTAAGAATGTAAATAAAACAAATACTGCCCATGTATTTGTAGTATTTGTATAATCTTTTTAGCAGATTTTATGAAAATAGTTTAGATAGTTTAGATTGCTTTTACTATAGATTATAGAAAAATATTTCATTTTTCTCTGGTTAGCTTACTAAAATGATCAGAAAAAATGTGTATTAATTGTCTAATTAATGTGATGAAAATTTGATGTGTAGTTCTTATTTGAAATGTACAACAGTAGCTGTACAAAGAAATGTACATACTGCCTCCACATGGTCTCTGTGAAAAATAATTAGATATGCATAATAACCCATGATGAATGGGATATAAACAAAAATATTATAGCCAAACATGAGGATCAGAGTTCAAACACGCTTACAGAGTTAAGTTCTTCTTTGTGGGTGGCAAGTAGTAAAACTGCTACGTGCAGGATTGTATCTCTCTCCGTTGTGATGATCCTTAATTCTGTATTTCTTAACATCAATATTTGGAGAGGAATCCCTTGCCTAGAGCAGGGGTGCTGGCTGTGTGGAATCGCGCTATTCTGCAGCCCAGTAGCACTGTCCTGCAGAGCTGCCAAGAGTTTGCGGCAGTTCTGTCCC